ACAAAGCCCTTTTGTTTTTATTTTTAATGTTAAAAATTTGATTTTTCAATTACTGTTGACATACAATATATTAGTTTCAAGTGTACAAAACAACATAGTGATTAGACATTATATCTCACAAAGTGATCATCCCAATAAGTCTATTATCCACCTAATACTGTATATAGTTATTACAATATTATTGAATATGTTTCCTGTGCTGTACTTTACATCCCATGAATTTTTTTTCAATTATACTTGACATTCAATATTATTTTATATTATTATCAGGTGTACAGCATAGTGGTTAGACATATAATTTATGAAATGGTTGCTGATAAATCTAGTGCCTACCTGTCACTATACATAGTTTTTACAATATTACTGACTATATTCCCCATACTGTACTTTACATCCCCATGACAATTTTATAACTACCAATTGGTACTTAATCTCTTCACCTTTTTCACCCAACCCCCATCCTATCTGGTAACCATCAGCTTGTTTTCTGTATCTATGAGTCTGTTTCTATTTTGTTTGTTTATTTTTAGTTCTTTATATTCCACATATAAGTGAGATCATACAGTATTTGTCTTTCTCAGTCTGACTTATTTCACTTAGACTAATACCCTCTAGGTCCATCCATGTTGTCACAAATGGTAAGATTTCATTCTTTTTTATGGCAGAGTAATAGTCCATTGTATGTATGTACCACATCTTTATCCATAGGCATTTTGGTTGTTTCCATATCTCTGCTATTGTGAGTAGCACTGAGGTAAACATAGGGGTGCATATATCTGTTTTTGTTTGTTTTTTTTTAAGATTTTTATTGGGGAATTGTGGGAATGGGAACAATGCTGGGGAATTGGGGGAAGGGGAACAGACAAGTTGCTGTCGTTTTGTTCTTCAGTCTAGTTGTGGAGGATGTTGCTTCACTGGCCCAAGTTGGCACCATCATTGCGCTCTTCCCAGGCGAGGCAGATCAGTCGCCGGCTTCTGGACGGCCGCTCACTGCGGCTGCTGGCCGCTCACGCTGGCTGCTGTCTACATACGGTAGCCCATGGCAACCCACTGCCACAGGGGCTGCAGCCTACGCCGTTGTTGGCAACTCACGGCAGCCCAGCTCCAGGTTGAGCTGTTGTTCAGCATCTTAGCTGTAGAGGGCAGTTTCACTGGCCCTCATATGTGGGATCCGAACCGGGGCCCTCTGGCGTCCCAAGCCAGCTCTTAACCAACACGCCACTCGGCTGAAGGTAGTTCTATTTTTAATTTTTTGAGGAACCTCCAAACTGTTTTCTACAATGGCTGCACCAATTTGCATTCCCACCAACAGTGCACAAGGGTTCCCTTTTCTCCATATCCTCACCAACACTTGTTTTTTTACACCTTTACTGAGTGTATAATTCAATGTTTTTAGTATATTCACAGAATTGTGCAACCATGATCAAGATCTAATTTTAGGACATTTTCATCACCCCCAAATGAAACCTGTATGCATTAGCAGGCACCCCCTATAACCCTCCAACCCCTCTAGCCCTAGGCAACCACTAATCTACTTTCTATTTCTAGATTTGCCTATTCTGGACATTTCATATAAATTAAATCATATAACATGTGTTCTTTTGTGACTGGATTCTTTCATGTAGCATGATGTTGAAAAATTAGTCCAGGTTGTAGCATGTATCAGTACTCTGTACTATTTTTGCAACTTCTTGCGAGTCTATATTTTTAAATAAAACTTTAAAAAATGAACAACCAAGGTATCTAGAGGGTGAGCAGAGGTACCTGTGAAAGGACTCACAGCTGGAATTAGCATTCAATGCTGAGAGCACGCTGGGCCTTGGAAAAGGAGGAGGGGGCCCATCTCAGCCCAGCTCCACCTCAGGAGGCTGCGGGCAGTGAGTGTTGGTGGGGAAGGCATGGGGTCCCACCACTTGGCTCCCAACCTATTCTCTGGAGTAAGTTATTTTGACCTCACTTTGCCTCCATTTCTTCATTTGTATAATAAGGATAATAAGACGATCTACTTTACAGAGTAAATGAGAGAAAATCACGTAAAGGATGGTGCCAGTACTCAAAGGTGTTAGCTCTTACCATGACCTGACAGTGGTGATGAGGATCCAGTGTGACCCTGGCCTTAAGGGGTAAACCTGTCCTTTTGTGTCCTCCCCGGGACCAGCTCCTCCTGCCCTAATCACTCAGTGGTCTTCCCGCCATCACAACGCTTCTCCTGGTCCACTCATGCTCATTCATGCCGTACAGAAGAGTCCCACTTTTCCAAGAGGTTACCAAGGAATTCCAGGGTGTCACTGTCTAGGATGATGCCTCTGAGCACCCAGCAGTGATTAAAACAACAAAACAACAAACAGAAAACTTTCGAATATTGCGCTTTATACAGAAAATATGGCCATTCAGACCCCTGGTCATTCCTCGAACAGGTTGAAATAATCTAGAAAAATTCATTGCAGATCAAATTTAAAGGCTAGAAGCCATTGTGAGTCAGTGCTTTCAAAGGAATATTTTGGAGATTTTTTTTTTTTTAAAGATTTTATTGGAGAATTGGAGGGAGGGTAACAGCATTGGGGAATCGGGGAAAGGGAACAGACAGGTAGACAAATTGCTGTTTTGTTCTTCAGTCTAGTTGTGGAGGATGTCGTTTCACTGGCCCATGTTGGTATGATCGTTGTGCTCTTCCCGGGTGAGGCAATCGGTCGCCGGTGGTTGGTGGGCTGCTCACAGTGGCTCCTGGTAGCTCACACCGGCTACCAGACGCTCACGCTGGCTGCCAGCTACTCATGTACCTCACAGCAGCCCACTGCAGCCCCGCTGTAGCCTACGCCATCACCGGCGACTCACAGCAGCCCAGCTCCAGGTCAAGCTGTTGTTCATCATCTTTGCTGTAGAGGGAGAGCGTCACTGGCCCTCAATGTGGGATCCGAACCGCAGCCTTGCTGCTCAGAGCTGGTGCTCCCAGGTGAGCTCTTAACCAGCTGAGCCACTCGGCCGGCCCTATTTTGGAGATTTTAATGTTGGAATTTTTAGGTATTGAGACAGATCCTTGTCAGTCCCATACGCTGAAGAAATGCAACAGCTGGGCCTGAGCTGCGCCTCTAGACCAGAGTTAGAGGACCCAGGAGCCAGAAGGGGACTCACTTTTTTCTAAGAGGCTCTCACTTTTCTAGTACCTGCATTCTACTGGGAAACTGAGGCTCAGAAGGGCCATGTGGCAGGGTAGTTAGAAGCCAGGTAGGGAACTCACTTAGGGAGAATCCTTTGCAATTTCAGGAAATTCTTAGCCATGGAAATTGGTTCATAGCCTGGGTCCATGGACACAGAAGCAGAGAGCTGGCCGTCTTGTGCAGCCTCAGACCTTGGCTAGAGACCAAGCAACCAAGTCCGGAAATCAGTGTCTGATGCTTCCTTCTCCCAGTTTCTTTCAGTCAGATGTTTGTCCTAGAAGTAGGAGTTTATTAATAGTAACTGTCACAGCACCTTACATGTGCCCAGGCCTTTTTTCAAAGAGCCTACCATACATAGGTCGTCTCACTAGATCCCCACAATTCCCCAAGGCAGGAGAGCGGGGATATTGTTCCTCACTTCAATTGTTCAGGCAAGGAACCTGTTTAAGCAATTTTCCCAAGGTGACAGAGGCTAGAGCCGTACTAGAATGTGGGAATTTTGCTCTCTAATTTGTTAAAACATCAATATAATTTTTTTGAGTGTCTTTTATTTGCTGAGTGCTGTGCTGGGTGCAGGGGTCACAAGGACGAACTGACATGGTCCTTGTAAAGAGGCACATATTGTAGACAATAACATATGGTGGCCAGAGAACTTTCTGGGGGTGGTCTTAGTGGAAGTGTTTTATATCTTGGTAAGGATGTGGGTTACATGGGTATTTGCATATATCAAAATTCCTCCATTGTACACTTACAATTTGTGCATGTCACTGTAAATTTTACCTAAGAATGTAGAAAATGGGAATGCTCTGGAAGGACTATGCCTAGCAAGGCCTTGGTAGCTGTTTGGAAACAGGCCAGGGCTGACTAGGTTGCCCATGGATACAGTTCTGCCTTTGCTAATGGGTGTGGCTGAAAAGTCTTCTCCTGGAGGCTTTAGAACCAGATGGCCCAGTGGCCTTGATGCCCAGAGCATCTGGGAAGCACTGAGGAGGGAGTCAGGGATCACTGCACGTTTCACAGCATGGATATACAGCAGGTGAGCAGTCGGTCAGAGGAGGAAGGACAGGGCAGGGAGGATAGTTTCTAAGTATTCCTCAGGAGAGTGTGGTTGCTCAGCGAGCCCAGATGGAAAAGGGCTGAACCAGGCTTTGAATTGCTTCCCTTACCTCAGATGGGAAAAACTCAAGCTGGTTGGAAACTTTGAAGCTGCTTCCAAAGAAAGGAAAAAGTCCTCTTACCACTGTGTCAGGGAGCCAAGGGCTATGCCCTGATTCTGACGCCTTTTGTCACCTGACATCTTGTGGGGTTTGCCTGCTGCTCAGGGCTCTCCCCATTGAGAAGACAAGGTAGAAGTGTGAATCATTTGCGGCCCTACTCACTTCCAGAATGCTTGGTTTTCGGATGCAGACACTGGCTGGCCTGTTTTCAGCTGCGCCCCTAGGCGGCTCAGGCCAGCCAGCCCCTCCCTCTGACTCACTGTGGCGGCATCCAGTCGTTCACGTCGGGGGGCGGCGAAGACAGCGGCCTCAGCCACGCGACGAGGCTCTGGCAGGCAAGTAGCGCCTTGGGGTCTGAAAGCCGGGGCACTTAGCTCCTCCTTCGGGGGTTGTAGGGGCTTGGCTGCTCCGGGGCCGCCTCGTCCCGCTCCCCGCCTCTCCCTCTCTTTGGGGCGCCCCCGCGTGTCTAATCACGTCTCCTGGCTTCCAGTAAGGAGGGGCAGGAGAGGGCGAGTCCGTGCTAAAGAAAGCTTTCTTGTACTCCGTGTGGGACAAACTGAGCATTCCTGCCGGGGGTGACCGGACCGGGAGGAAAAATGTGAGTCTGGTAAAAACAAGTTTTAGAATCTTGTTACCAGATAATGTCATTAGCGTGTGCATTGTTAAGAGTTACAAGGCGCTGGAGAACCCCAGGCTGAGCGACCTGTTCTTTGTTTTGCTGTTAATTTGCAAACCTCTTTTCCTGTGGTGATGGCCACCTTTAGCCAGGTGAGGCGTACGTGTGGAGAACGGGGATTCCTATTCATTTTTGTGCCCTGGGTGGGTGCACAGAAGCCGGAACCTAAGAGACCCCAGGTTCTGCACCGGTGCAGACCAGTATAGATGAACCCCCTGGGTGTGAGTGGGGGCGGGGTAAGGGGGGTGCGATTCCTGCGCTACAGGAAGAGCTGGAGGAGGGGGCAGAGACATTGCTTCCTGAGATGCTGGTCCCATTTACTGGGGTCTCCCTAGTAAGTGCTCAGTGTTAGGAAGAGAAAGGAGTCCACGTTTATTAAGCGTCTGTTATTTGCTCATTAATTATACGATGTCATTTAATCTTCACATTTATCTTTATGCTCATTTTATAGATAGAGCACACGAGGCTCCAGGAAGTTAACTCTCCAGGAAGTTAACTCACTTGTTAGAAGAAGCACAGCCAGTAAGTAGCCAACATGTCCAGCTCTTTCCATTCGACTCAGCCTCTGCCCAACCTCTAGTCCTGAAACCAGAGGCCATATGAGTCCCAGGCGGTTCTGCCTGCGCCGCTCAGCCGCTCAGCCTATAGATGGACCCAGGAGTTGGGTCATAGAATAAGCGTTTACATCTCCAAAAAACGGCCTTAACATTCTCAGACCAGATTGGGGTATTTAAAGGAAAACCTGGGCATTCCTCCAGAGGCTACTTGATGGTTCTGGGGTTCTGCATGGAGCCTTCCCTGTGGCCACATGATTCTATGCTGGAGTCAGCAGCCCAGAAACAATGATGGGATTTGCCTGGTAGACCACTGAGGTTGTGATCAATAAACCTAAGGGTATTAATCATAAGTTTCAGGGTAGTTTTCTAAAACAGGGAACTGGGAGGGGTAGGGAATATTCTGAGCTCAGGCAGCAGGGGGATGATCTATTGTTTTTCTTTTTTTAATTGGGGAATTGGGGGAGGGGAACAATGTTGGGGAATTGGAGAAGGGGACCAGCCAAGCTGTTGTTCTTCAATCTTAGTTGTGGAGGGCACCAATCGCCATCTGGCTGCCCGGCAGCAGCTCGTGGCCTCTAAGCTCAAGGTGCTG